GGTGATGTAGGCAGAATCGATGAGGCCCCGAGGGATGGGGCGCTGCTGGTAGCTGAAGCAGCAGGTGGTGGGGACGCCATCTGTGAGGGCAGAGAGACAGACAGAGAGCCCTGGTGAGACCCCAGGATACAGCACAGGCTCTGGCCCCACCAGCGCTTGGGGTTCCCCAGGGATTTGCCGTCTCCCACCCATTCCCTCCCTTGTGTCATATTCCCTGGCGGTGCCCCCCAGGAGACCCCTGGCCCCAAGCCTGAGTCCCAGTGTTGGTGGTGGTCTCCTGGTCCCAGCCCTCCCGACAGCGACGAGGGTCCCCGGTGATGGGGATGGGGCTCTCCAGCTGCCCCGGCAGCTCCCGTGGAGCGATGGCACACCCAGCCTGGGGGATGACGCAGCAACGCCGGACTCACCAAGATGGGCCTCGGATGGGGAGCAGGTGGCCACGAGGAGGAGAGCGACCAGGGCGGCTGCGGGGACCTTCATGGTGCTGTGTGGGCCGAGGGATCTGCGAGCGGGGCTGGAGCTGGGGGGCTGCAGGGCTCTCCTCTGCACGATGCTTGGCCCCTGCGGCGCTGCCCTCCTTTTATGCCCGGCCGTGGGGCGGGCGCAGGGTTTCAAGGAACGAAAATGAATGCATCATACCGGGGAAATTATGTCAGGATCACCCAGTTTTGCTGAGCTGGAGAAGGCAAGGAAACCGCAGAAGGGGAAGCGCCAGCCACGAGGCTGCGACTTTCAGATTGCATTTGGGTGCCCAGCAGGGACCAGTCTGACCCCAAAGCCCCACGGCAACAACCTTGCCCCTGCTGCAAGGACCTCACCCACCATGAGCCAGGCTGGGGCACAAAGCTCCATGGCCAGAGCCCTGAGGGCAATCCCAAGCAGGCAGCCGTGAAGCAACACCAGCAAGCTCCAGGCAGGGATTTGCTTTGCAACAGCCCCAGCAGCATCGCTGTGTCGGGGGGCTGCAGAGCTGTTCCGGGGACAGCAAGCCGCCCAGCCCAGATGCCATGGCATGGACACCCCCAGCCACTGCTGCTATTGCTGGCAGAAAACCACCACCAGCAGTCAAATCCCAACTTATCCCCAGGTTTTGCCACAAATACCACTTCTCACCCTGCTCCACCGGTGACAGCACGGGTACAGAGTTAGCTCCATAACGATGCATACATTCATCGCCACTGATAGCACTGATTCTTGGTTGGGCATGTAGGAAAGGAAAGATCATGTTGGACCAAGGTTGTGTTCAGCTAGAAGCCACTGGGGATCTCACATTCATCCCTTTTTGCTGGTAATACAGTCAAAAGCAGTATTCTAATGCTGGAAAGGATGCAGAGACATGGAGTACTGGATGGCCTGTAGCAACTGGACTTGGTTGCCCTGCTCCGGGGTTGGAGCAGTGGGCTCAGGCTTCAGCCTAGCCTGCCACCCTCCCTGTCCCACGAGTGAACAGAGGATTTAGACCTCTCCAAGGATTTTAGTTTTGGTTGCAGTCTGCAGCATCGTGACAGTCAAGTTGTTGCAATAACTGCTTGCCCACTTCTTCCCAAGCAGGATAATTTCATCCAATTTAAGCTCTGTCTACAGGCTTAGCCCCAAAACAGCAAATACACCTGTGTCAGGAGATAGGGCATTAAGAGTAGGAGCTGGAGGGAGGAGAGGATTCTGCTGGTGCCCACTGAGATCAGCTCATTGCAGCCTTTCAGATGAAACCTCGAGATCGTAGCATGATTGAAAACAGGCAACATTTGTAATCCCAGAGGGTAATTCCCAAATGCCTCTGCTGGTACACTCCCAGAAAGAAAGAGCTGACAAACTTGCTTCCTCCTTTTTTTTTCCTTTTTTTTTTTTTCTTTTCCTGGCCTTGCCCTCATGCTGTCCCACAGTGCCACAAAAGGTTTGCTGCCCGGCTCCCAGCTACCATGCAACCCCCCCTCAGCCTCCCACCGCCTGCCTCCTGGCCTTTGCTGGGGCATGACTAATTCCTGCCGTCCTGATTCAAGGGAAAAGTCCCCCTTGAAAAGCCCGTCCTCCCATCCTCACTGCGTGGCGATGCTCCCCATTCGCGCACACTGATGAACCTCAGGGTTGCTGCAATGGCCTTTTGCCCAGAAAATCTTCCCCTGCCAACAGGTCCCGTCTGAAGGACGCATCCCTCCCAGCTAGCACTTGTTTCAGAGGAAGTGTAGGACTAGGACAGAAGATCATGATTGTTTATTCTAGAAAAGATGGGACAGAGGTGAGAATGGGTGTAAATCATCTCACTGGAGACCTTCAGGAGGAGCTAAGCAGCGCTGATCTGGCCTCAAGGTGGTGGTGGCAACAAAACCCACCTCTCCAGCTCCCTTCTCCAACTGCCTATGCTTCAGCTGTTTCGGTATAAGCTGCTCTGTGCCTGGGGCTACAAATGAAGAAATCCTTTGTAATTAATGGTGATCAGAGTCTTCCTCTGGGGCATTTGAGAAGGGCTTGGAGGAGAGGTAGTACCTGCCGTAAATGCTCCTGCTTCTCAGATGTCACTGGATACACAAAAGCAGGAGAAGGCTCAGTTCCTCAGAGGACTGCAGATCTGCATGAGTTTTTCTGTTAATGCCATTGCAGAGTCACAAAGAGGTTTCTCTTAACCTCAAAGCATCCTCTGTGTGCAGAGGAATCCCAAGTTCAGGGGTCAGCCTCCAGAAGCCTTTTGTGTTTTTATGATCCTCTCTGCCTGTAAACCCTCACGTCTCCCACAAAGACCTGCCCCAGACCTCTGCCCTCCAACCACCCCATTCTGGCATCTCTCCTGCCCTCACCAGAGCCAGCTTTGCTCTCTTTAACAGGGAGAAATGAGAGGGAGGACATCAGCATGCAACAGGCTGTTACAATGAAGGCAACCAGCAATTGCTGCCTGGGTCAAGTGTAGGAACAAGATGCTGAGCTACCCAAACCCCAGGGATGCCTCTGGGGAGAGCAGCCCTGAGCCAGGGTTGAGCTGGGCTTGGGCAGGAGAATCCAGTCATGGGGCCCACAGCCAGGGATGAGCAATGGCTGTGGGCAACACCGGCTTGGTGGGAGTCCCTTTGCCTGCCCAGGCAGAGAGAAAAG